AAGTCCAGATCTGCAGATTTATTTTGTACGAAATTCGCATCGAGTTGTATCTGGCTCGTGATTAACCATTAACGCACCGATATTTCTTCGAACTTGGCTCGCCACGTATCAGATATGACAGATATTTCGCGGAAAATGGAGCGAAATATCTCCGAGTAGCATTTTTTTCCTACTCGGGATCGAAGTCTCAAAATCATATATCCTATAGGAAACGGAACTTTCAAATATTTCAGTCCCCTATACTTATTGGTGCCCAGAGTGGCAAATTAACATAAGAAATAAATAGTTTAGTGCAGTCGAACACTATACAGAACGTCATCCGAAAACACACAGAACACTATACAGAAAATCGAACGATAATGGTCTCGAAGGAGCGCACACTTAAGCGATTTTAAGATTCATAATGACAGAAAACGATGCTGCGGTTGCTTTCTTCGATTTGTCCGGCGTATTTTAGCTTATAGTGACCGGCAGATTAAGCCTGTGTCGAAAAGTGGTTATGCGCATATTTTTATTATTATTATTATTTTTGTTTTATTCGGTTTTGTTTGTTTTCTTTTACTGGGGAAGGAATAGATAATAAACCAAGTGAGAGATCTGCAGCCAGAGCTAGGGTTCATTTATTTCAAGGTGGCACTACCCTAAAATAGTACATGGCGTCGCTCTTGCGCGATTAATTTTGTTCAATATGCAGGCAGAAGGCTGTAGTAATTCCCTTTATGAGAGAATCTCCATTTGCGAGCGGATGGAGCATAGATTCACGACTTAGGTGATAATAATAATGACAATTAACCCGTTTTGTCAATAGATATATTTTTTTGAATATTCTTGCTTGTTACCAGAAAATTTAAAAGAGCGATATTTACGATTTTTGCGCGACTAGATGATGCAGGTGAAATCTAATAATTTTTATTACTAAAGAAAAACTTTCGCCCTAGTAAATATCGACCCTCTTAAATACAGCGCAGTTTAAAAAATTTGTCTTTTAACTAACTGTTAATCTCTTAAAGCGTCATTGTATCACTTACATTAACAAAAATTCTGATAGCGCCAGTGTCTCGAATGGAAAAATTTACACCGCATGTGAACTGAAGCTTCCGTCATCGAGTGCTGAATTCCGATGCCTAAACTGATTGCTTAGAAATTGTCTTTAGAAGTAAATTATGTAAAAATACCGCACAAAACGGTCAACTTCCAAGTTTAAAAACTAATTCTGCTGGCACCAATCCGTGAAATTATACCATTTGTCTTACATCATATGTAAGCTGCAGCTTTTGTTATCTCTTAAAGCGTCAACGTATCAATTATTCAAACACCAAACACTTTACACAACCAAAATAAAACATAAACAATTTTGTCAAAATTAAAACCTAACTGTTTCTTCAGGTATGCCAATTGCGACGAAAATAGCTGCGCTGAAGGTGCAGTTGGTTATGATATGCGAGCTCCATCTATTTCGTCCACATGCGCTGTTCAAGATAACATCTACGAGCAGATTTGTAACCTACCCGACGCTAACAGAATCCCAGACGAAGAAAATATTTATGAGTCAATTGAAGATATGAGGCAACGGGAAAGTAAGTAGTTTATTTAGATTTTTAGTTATGTTATGCCGGGTCCAGGCCAATCAGACAAAATATCGACAAAACCGAGACACTCATATTTCACGACAAATTCTAAACATTTTAGCCACATTTTTGTTTTGCGTATATTGAGGTATCGAGTGGGCAAATATCAAACGGTCTTTGTTTTGTCTGTATTTTATGACTAGCTGTCGGCGCAGTGTGGACGGTGTGTGTTACGCCAACAACGCCCAACGCCAACAAACAACATTTATACTCAAATCCATCCAGCGTCAACACACAATGTTCACACTTAAATCTACCCAGCATTGACACACAACATTTATTCTCAAATCCACCCAGCGTCGACATACACCATTCTCAGTATATACTAGACCAACAAAAGAAGAAAATTGATTTTGAATGGAAAAACAAGAAGACACATTTTTTTTTGTTTGCGCTAATGATTTCTCTTATATTATTCAGTAAATCAATTTCATTCAGTAAATGATCATAAATTATTGTTTGTTTGCAGACTTACGCTCACAACCTAGCACATCTAACGCTCCCGACTTGAACGAGTCAATCTACGATCCGAGTTTAGCCAGTTGCAGTACAAGCACATATGGAAGAATTGGAAACACTTACGGGAGAATCGACATAATCGGACATGGCATTGGCAGAATCGAACGACACTTGTCTTCGTCTTGTGGCAGTATCAATAGCAATCACTACGCTATTGATAGTTTGTATGGCACATCAGATAATTCAGGTAAAATTAAGTTTTTGAGGGTCAATGTGGAAAAAATGAGAGCTTTGCACATGTGAAAGTAGACGGCAGAGTTGTCGTGTTGGTACTTTGCGAGAGTTTTTGTAATCAAGCCGCACCGTAGTACTACTTTTTCACCGATTACGTAGTACCATTTTTGTGTAGAATTGTTTATGGTTGCAGTATAAAACGCATTCAGAATTATGGAATATTCCCGTCACCGACGTCTATCATAGGGTGAAAATAATTAATGCGTTGGTTGCCACCAGTCAAATGTTTAATAAAGATTTATATTTTTTTCTCAGCACGGCTCATCTAAAACGCCTCATTTCATTTTTCAAAAGCTGAAAAGTTTTATTACCTATAAACATAAACTGCTCAACAAAATAAACGTTACACTGCCAAATTTACCCCACTTACTTTGGAACTGGATAAATTATGATTGCTGCGTGCTTTGATTTTTCTTTAGGGTTGTCTAATTCAATTACTTTGCTATCAGTCCGTGTTTTTGCAAAAAATTAGATCTTCAGATAAAGTTTATACAGGGTAGCAAATGAAACAATGCAATTGAGCAAACAATTTTTTTCTTTTGATTTTCAAAAGCATAGCTCTAGATTTTGAAAATCAGTTCAAGAAGAAAAATGTCCTCACTGTAAGGCCAAAAAGTTAATTTTTTCGACATCATGAAGCACTCATTTTTTGCAAAAACACAGACTGATAGAAAAAGAATTGGACTAGACAACACCTCAAATAGAAACAAAATCGCTTGGAGCAGTCAAAATTTATCCAGTTCCAAATTTAGGGCAATTTTGGGCGTATAACGTTTATTTTGTTGAGCAGTTTACATGGTATGCTTATTTAATTATACATTTTTTAAAAACCTTTTCATTTTTAAAATATCCGCCACTTAATTCAGTAGTTCTAACGACAGGCAGGAAACCCTAGAAATTCAATTTGCAATCCCATATATCTTATTCCCCAAATACGGGGAATATAAAAAAAATATAATAAAATTATAGTAAGGGGTAATAGAATACAAGGTGCAATCCCATCCACTCGTGAATTCGCCGATAATTCCTTTTTTGGTGTGGATCAGTGATAATTGTGATATTAATAAACAGTTTAGAAGATAGAGTGCGAAGCTGTTTAATTTGTAGAAAACCACCGTGAATTTTGTCTACGCTTATGGTTAGCGAACAGGCGAGTGCATTCTGAGATTAATTCTGTTTGTAAATATATCGATCGATCTCCACTTTCTCTACGTTTTTATTTTCATTGATAAATTGCCGATCGATAGAAAACAATGTTGCTCACAAACTAATCGGGATCTAAGAACTGACTAGCTTCGTTCATGCATATTTTATTCTCTTTGGTTGTACCTGTGCACCCAGTCTTATCCATATCGACTCCATGCTCCCTCATGTGTTTTATTTCCTCATATATAAATCCAAAACCCTTTAATTATGCCGTGTTCTAAACTGAGTTTTGAGAAATCTACAATCGAAATAGAAACAGATTTTTTGCACAATCACTTGCACATATTTATATGCTCGGATCGTTTAAGTTACGTATGAGCCGCAAAACTATCAATATTTTTTAGATATAAGCTTAATATTTTATTGGGAATCTTGAGATTCCATCAGAAGAAATCTGCAATTACTCTTGTTGAAATGTAAATAATCGCTAAAAATGCCAACGATAATTAAACAGCATGCAGTTTTTAAAAACCGCAAAGATGTAATTTCGCTAAAATATTACTCCTGCTATTTGGGTAGTAATTGATTAGCCAAAGATATTTTCATTATTGTTTTAAACACATGGATATGAGCAATACTAGTGTTTTAAGTTCGGGCATAACTGAAAGATACTCATCTGAAATTTGAAATTACCATTTTAATATATTCTCTTGAAATAGGTTTGAAACATACTTTTGATTCTATTAGTTCATGAACTTCTTCATTTGTTTCTAAGGTTGGTTATTGTCCGATTTTTACAGGCAGAATTAGCAAAGTATCTGTTCAATGGCTTCTGGCCAACAAATGGCTGCCATTATGGATAGCCAATACAGAGACTGGTAAGGACTATCGGATAATCGATTTCCTTATAGCTCAAGGTCTTGAGCAAATGCAAGAAGCAGAGGCGGAAAATGAACAGCTCGCTAGAGCAGAAGAACAAGGAAGTTCTTCTAGCCCGTGTCCTCCCGAAGCACCTCCAACTCCTCCAAGTTAGTTGCTTATTTAAGGTGGCTAAAGCGGAAAATTTTAATTTATTTACTGTTTGGATCTTCAGAGTTGTTTTATTGAAATCGTCTGATGAAATTTAGGCCTGAAGTTATCTAATCTATTTTATATCATTCAAGTTGGAAGTGTAATTGGTGTACTAAGTGATTTGTCGTTTTCATGATTGAGTAGCAGTACTATTAGTAGTAGCAATGTTAGGACAGGTTTCACTGTTTTACTTGTACTTTAACGTACGGTTTGTTACAACCATTTAAGACGGTTTCTACAACCACAAGTAAAACACAGTGAATGTAAAATTTCTTGTTATCTCACCTACTCTATTGCACTCCACCGTTTAGTGTCACTCTAGTTAGCTGAAATTTACGATACTTTTAACTTGTTAGTCAGTGCATACATGGTACAGATTGAGATTTACTGGCTCATGTTTGCAAGAGTTTTGACACAAATTTAATAGCTTAACTCACCGTGTTCATGCTGTAATTTTAAGTACACTTTTACCATTTTCTTTTAAGGAAAGATTGTGATTAACTCGACGAGTATTGTTAAAGCTAGTTGAAAAATGTGATGGTAATTTTAGTTTTGTAACGTTTTACTCTTTCTAAAGACAATATTTTATACACATATATTCCTGTTTTTTGGCCAGAGAGGTAACGTGCTGATATACCGTATTTCCATTATACTTTTAGAGCACATTGAAAAAATCGTCTTTATATAAAAGTGCGCCTCTATAAATGTATTCACGTTTTCACTCTATAGGTCAGAAGCGGAAAGTTTCGCTTAACTCTTTATTCACTTGACCAATTCAACTTCTTATTCACAATGAATTTACCTTTAAATATTTGTTTTATTGTTAGGGCTGCTCACAGAAGTAATTTATAGTCTATTTGGACGATGTTGAATATTTCAACAGTAGAATGGTCGCGCTCGATCTAAGGTAAACATCGATGTTTTTTTTACAAGATTGTTCGATCGAGAAATTTACTTATTAGAATCAGCTGGGTCAACTGTTTATGAAAAGCTTACACGAGCCATCGCGTTAAGAAAATTCATTTTCGTGAAACTTCGTTTGCTCTGAAGTGTAAATATCATTGACATCTTACTTGACGAAAATTATGAAACGAAAAATGCGTATGTGCGAAAAGCTTGTATAAGCAAGGATTATTACTAAAATATGTAGGTAAACAGTTGGGTGATTTATACGAAATTTTATGCGAATGTATTGGTGTAATAATTAAACTAAAATAAAATTGTGATTAATTAATATGTTTCGAAAAAATGTTACTAATAATGTGGAATCATTTTCTGTTTTGAGAGTAGGTTCTACACTTGATTATGTCTTATCATTTCCACATGAAGTTTATTCGATTGAATTACATTTCCTTGAGAACATCGGATGTGGAAAATTTGCTTCTCAAGCCTAGTTATTCTAACTAGGTCCTAAATCACACAATTTGTCCTATTTCTGTAGGGTTTAATTATATGTATATTCAATAAATTGCCAAATAAATGTTTCTATGATGTTAAACATTGTGCGACTTTGATTGGCTTCATTGAAAAACCCATTTGTCCTGCATACACTTTATTAAAATAACTAAACTTCTACAATAATAGAAGAATACACTATTTTTTTCAGAAATAATATTACAGTAATTAAGCGGTATCAACTAACACATCGAAATTTTCTTTGAGTTGCTCATGAGCAGACAGTGCCATTTGTCCCAATTGTCCTTCTGGTTGACTGATAGGTTCGTTCTTAAGAATTTCCACAGCTTTTCCTAGTGTATCTATTGATTCCTGCAGTTTTGCCTTGAAATCTTCCTTATTTATCGCACCGTACTGGTATTGATGTCTTGCGTGAATCATTATAGGACCGTGTAATTCGTAGAGTGTTATACCTATTAAACATTCGATCAACTATTTAGTTGAAATATTAGAAATATCTATGAAACTACCTTTAGATTTTGCTTTATTTAATTACTTAAGAACCTAATAAGACATAAATTAGCTATCTCTAATTTGTTCAGACAAATATAAAATTGTTGGTTTAATTATTTTATTCTTTATGAAAACACGTTATATTTCCTTTATGTAATGCATTTAATATTTAGATATTTTTCAGTTTTTATTGGATTCTCCGAAGTTACACAATGTCGATTGCTAGTTTTAATATTTAGGAGTGTTTTGAGGGAATAACATTTTATTTTTTAATAAATAAGTAATGAAACTAAGCAATGAAGGGAAAATATCAGTAGTAAGTTTATACATGTTTGTGTAAACTCCTTCGTTTTGAAAACTTTTTCTGGAAGTAACGAATATTAGAGAAGTAAAGTAATAACGGTGTGCTTTTTAAGACGCAATTTTAGACCTTCCAGATCAACATGTCTATATGTTGATATCCATTCTTTGATGGATTATGCCGAATTCAAATAATTTTTGCCCATATTTTTATTGCTGGAAAACTTACCTCTGATTCGTGACAATCCAGGTTCTATAATATCCAAGACCTCCATAAGTTGTAGGCACAGTTCAATTTTTCTCTCTAAAATTACATCCGGCAAATCTTCCAAAGTGTATCCTTCAGTTTTTCCATACAGTTGAATTAAGGCGCTTCGGAAAGTTGTCATGTAGGAATTGTTTGGGTGCAGAACTGACCTGGTTAGAACAGACATAATTTATTCCTGGTAGAACTTGCATATACACATTTAAAAAAATCATATTTTCATTAAATTTGGGGCAGTTTCTTTTTATATTAAGTTAATTAATGCTTCAACCATACCTATATTTTCTGAAAATTGTTTCCCTCTGTTGAATGCCCTCAGGTCCTCCTATATACTCAACTTGATCAATTTCATTTTGAATAGCTGCAAATACCTTTCTCACAGCCCGACCGTTAGTTTTATAGTCGCAATGAGTACACTTCCATTCACAAGCATCATCTATCAGGAAAAAAATCAAAGCTATTCTCAAATCTACAATAAACAATTGAGGCGAAAGCACCTACCTGCCGTATTAGTGGAAATTATTACTCCATTATCACATCTTTGGCATTTCAGGCTGCTCATGTGCGTATCTAGTTCAGTAGGTGAGGAACACCTTGGGCATGTACAGTCGAAAAATTTGCTTTCCCTTAAAAATTCTCTTCTTACAAGTGTGGGCCATAAAGAGAAGGTGTAGCTGCTGAAAAGCTCGCCTCCTTTGGGAATATCAACTGCTGCTCGAACAGTAACGCTGTAAACATAACAACATAATTTATTCTTTAATTCTTACGTTCTTAATTCAGTTAATCGCGAGAATTTTTTAATTAAAAACTTACACACAATCTTTCAGTTCTCCATATCCATTACAATCCACAGCATGATGTATGTTGGATACGCAGTTGTGCGAGAGAATTGCTAATTTGGGAAACAGACATCTTATAGCATAGCAACTGGGGGTTCGTGCTTCAAAAGCGTTTATTTCTAAAATACCGCAAATCTAAAAATCGAAACTTGTTTATAACATGTAATATTAATTTGCCAATATGAAAAATGTGATAGCTTTAAACAGAATTCAACGACAGATACCCGTATAATATCGAATTTAGTACCAAATTGAGATTCATAGATATCGGGTTTTACACAAAAATGATTCTGTACTGACTGACTTCAGAATTAATTTAGCTTTATTTCATGATTTTGTTATCTATCTAAAACGATCTGAAATAATTGTTTTAATGAAATTTTGAAAAACATTCGTAAATCTGGGAAAGAAGTAGTAACTGGGCATTTATTTAGTTTTAAAGCAATCCCTTACTCAGCGGGCGCAGATAAAAGTAAGCAATTTAACGAAAGAAGATAGTAATACAGTGAAGATGTTATAGAAGCGATGAAACGGACAAAATTATCAGCAATTTAAATTGCTTTTACTAAATATTTCGACGAAAGAGAAGTTAAAATATGCCCCGGCAATAGAGGCTGAAATGTATTTTAAATTCGCTCAGAAGCAGTCAGGAAAAGTTGCAGAAAATTGAAAAAAAAAATCGTAAATTAATTAAACATTAAACATTTTCCCGGCTGTTTAGACAATTAGGAGATGAAATAAAAATTCTGTAATTTGTTCCTTTAAGTGTGGCAAACGTCTTGCAAAAAACTTGGCGATTTCATTACGATTATTTTACTTTTTTTACGGCACACTTATTTTAATTTTTGTGCTAATGCATCCCATGAGGTGTTTGCTGCTTAAGCCAGAAAAATAATCACATATTACCTTGTAATTAGAGTGAGCCAAAAAGAAAAAAAAAGACGAGAGATCATTGTTGAGTCCAATTTTTTTGGGTGAAACACCGATAAAATTTTGAGAGTTGAGGGTGAGGAGAATCAGCATCAACTAACTATTAGCCGGTAGATAATTGAATAAACTGTTGCAACGTATTTCACTAGAAAAATTAATTGATCAAATAATAACATTGAAATTGAATAAGAATTGAAACAAATAATTTGATCTTCACAAAAAGCTGCACTTATGATCAGTTATATTTGTGTCTATATTCGTATACAATACGACTATACTACGCACAAGAAATAATATAATGAAAAATGTAAGTGCTGAACCTACCAAATGAATTAGTTCTTCTGAGTATTTGTCCATCTTGCAGGGCCCTCGAATATATTCCACAATATTGTGCTGATTGAATTCCCATATAGGTCTGGACTTTCTTTCTTCATTGTGTGCCTCCATTATCGATATTTCCTCCTCCCATCGTTTCGGATCTCTTTCCTTCTCAAGTAACATTCTGGAGAAAACATACAATTGAACTAGTTTTTGGACAAGCTTTGTATTTTTTCCTGTATTGTATATTTTATCATTTTACCAGATCTACTTTCGATTGATTTGAGTTGACTGAATAAAATGTAACAGAAGTTTCAAAATTATTTAAGTAAAAATTGATTGTTTAAAACAATTTTGTTTGTCACAATTTGTTTTAGCCATTATTTTGCAGTACATATGGAGTACATTTGCAGTACCTGTGGATAAAATTATTTCCTTATATTTAATTGTAATTTTCCTTGGACAGTATTATAATTATGAAGTAGACGCAGCTAATAGTCAACGCACCCCGTAGCAAAATATCTTACTCCACCTCTTTCATTCACATGTCGTTTATCTTATTAATGAAAATTATGCAACGCATTTGCTGCAACAAAATTTCGGAAAATGTCGGATATTTTCCAATTCCGTGTAAAAAGTTGTTGAGTTTCGGAAAAACAAAGTTGTTATTCACTGTTTTGTGGTGTTTTTTTACCTGTGGTGCGGTTTTAAGCAACAAAAACGTGATTTTTCACTTGGGACACAGTCCGACGTTTGCTGTAAGCTGACATTAAAGTGTGGAGTTGGAGTTTAATGAACTTTTTTGAAGATTTCTTCAGGATTTTATGGTTGTATGGGACTATTCAAATTCAGAAATGGACAACTTAATGGTAAGTGCAATTTTTCTAAACGTTGACCTTTTAATGTCTTGGAACTGGATGTGATAGAAATACTCAACTTATGAACTAGAAAAAATGTTCGGACATTTATAACGCTAAAACTAAGGAAAATTGATTTTATCTTTATAAAATACTTGTTGTTTAGATTGTAAAATTTCTATAATACGTTGTTCAGTACACTATATCAACATTTAAACATTAAAAATATATGATAATGATAATGGGTACATCTTGAGAACTTAAACAGATGCTGTACAGTATTATGGTGATTCGATAGTTTTCTGACATTTATTTCAGCTGAGCTAAACGGTTTTTCCACGCTATTATCAGCTAAAGAAATTTTATATTTCATCAAGCTCTTTCCAAGTTCCATTGCCGTTCATCCAACTCCTGATATAATTTTACTAATTAAAACATGACCAGTATATTTGCATACTGTTTCAACTTCTCAACTGACGATTCTATTGACATTGTTCATAAATATCTGAAGTGCGCTTCGCAAATATTTTAATTTCGTGAATAATTTACGACAGCTTTGGAAATTAATTAATTCCATGATCAATTTTGAATTATTTAACGACTACTAACTTTGTTGTTCTCGTGTGTTCACTGTACCGAGAAATTCGGAACTATTCATCACAGGTTTCCATTACAAAAGGATTGAAAGCTGTATTTAATCCAATAAATCAATTTATTGAATGAATGCAAGAATTTTACGTTAACGCTAAATATTATTCGTTTATGTTGAGAATTAGAAAGCACATTTTTCGTGCCATAGCGTCTTAATAATGTATGACTAGGAAACTTTAAACGGTCTTCAAACTATATTATTACTATTTTTTCCTTGTTCCAATCAAGTCAGCGACAAGCAAATTAGTCAGTTTAATAGTCTTAGGATGTTGGCGGACTCCACATTATGAGCTCGCATAGTGGTTTATCTTACTTTGGGGGAATTTATGTAAAATAAATAGTTTATTTGTCGAAACAGTGTCCCAGGTCTAAGGGGTGGGGTTACCTTACGTCGTCAAAATGTAAAAATTTCTCAAAAATATCAGCAATCCATGAGGATATCCCAAGTTTTTCGATGTTATGTTATTACATTACTTTTCTAAATACAGAACTTTGCCGTAATTTAGCCCCTAAAACGAACACCCTTTATGAAATTTGCTCCACATGCAGGGTGTTTAATAGTCCGTAAAATGTTCACTAATTTTATTCATCATTTTCACAGATTTTTCAATAATTCGAAATTTCAATCTAAAATTATTTTTCAAGTTTTGGTTTAATTTGAAAGAGAAAAAGTCTTATAACCTTCATAGTGCAGAGTATTGTTTTGAAATACAAAAAATAACATTGATTTATTGCGAAGCATAATCCAGTTTTAATTAGCTACTTTACTAACTAGCTGGCTGTATTGAAAAAAATACTTGCAGTTGATTCGTTTTCGCAAAATTGTAAATTAGGTACGAAAATATGCCTGAAAAATACTTGTATTAAAGCTTCCTGCAAGGAATGCAGTGACTTACTAAACACCCTAGTAGTAGCTTTGTACAATGATGCAAGTTAGGTCTGGGTAACTCAGTAAATTTTTTGGACTTGTTGCGCCAACCCAACGCATTGGCGCAGTAACTCAGTTCCGTTGCTGGGAAAATGTGGATGACCATTTTTTAGTTGTCTTTAGATTTATTTTAAGGACCATTTATTAATAATGTTTTTAAAATTGCTTCAATTTTTCAGCATTTTCAGTTTTTGCAAAGTTACTCTTTCTTCTACATGCTCAATTTTCTAAAGTTTCACTTAAAAATACAGGCAATCTTTAGGTATTTTCTGTGAAAAATTACAATATAAATTTTATTGGAACACTCGCCTCCTTCGTCGCCTAATAAACGGTTTTGAAATCCCTATCCAGCTTCGAACTTGGGACAAAAATGAAACAATTTTCTATCAAAAAACGAACAGAGTATGCGAAAGTATAATAAATTATTTGGAAAACGCGTCACCCTTTCTCTGAAGACTACAGAGTTTGGAAAAAATATGTTTTTTTGGTTTGGACTGATTTTTTTTGCTTTATTTTCTACTTAAAAACTCTATTTTGTAGAGTTTCACTTAAAAATTGTGACGATCTGAGGGTCTTTACGCGCAAAATTACAAGATAAATTTATAGCTTTGTAGGAATTTTACGAAAACATTTTTCATCGTCGATTTTTGGACAAAAACGAAAATAAAATTCTACCGGTTATCCCCGAAAACTGTTAAGGTTTTTTCGAAAACTGATCACAAAATTAAAAGTTTTTAATCAAAAACGTACAAACCATTATTTTCTGATGATTTTCTTCTTTTCTGACAGCAATGTGCTCTTTTCAGACAAAATTGACGAAATTAATTTTGCTAGAAAATTCGCCTTACACATCGGTTTTCAGGGAACTTTGGAAAACCCTTTTCATATTAGATTTTGGTACAAAAACCAAACAATTTTTGTCAGTTTTTTACCGAAAGTAATTAAGATTATATTCCAAACACCACCAGCGAGCAAAAGGTTACAAATAATTATTTGGGAAATTCGCCGCCAGTATGACTGAAGATTTTTCAAGTCTTTAAAAGTTGAGGACATTCCAGTTTTAGCAAAGTTTATATTAAGCAATTCTTTCTACGCAAAAACGCATTATTTTTTAGTTTTACTTAAAATATGTCCTGACAATCTCATGTATTTTCCGCGAAAAGTTGTAAGATACATTTTATTGGTTATGGTACTCCTTCGTCGATGTGTAAAAAGTTTTGAAATCCACCGAACCCTTTCCAGCTTAGAATTTGGGACAAAAATCTAATAATTTTTTCTATGTCATTCCCAAAATATTTCCCCGAACTGAAAACGCAAAGGTTTACAATCATTTAGTTAGAAAACCCTGCGACACTGAGGTTTCTTAATTTTAGGTCAACACTGTCTCTAAACAGCAAAACCGCGTTTTTTCCTACCGCTTTACTGTAAAATACTGGCAAACTGAATGCTTATGCTAAAAATTTGGAGATCGATTTTACAAGAGAACTCGTCGACTTTCTTTGGACTCAAATCTGTTGCTGGGAAAATCTAGATGATCTTTTTTTTTTAGTTGTTTGAACAAAGTAGTAAAACGTTACTCAGAAAAAATGTTGATGTTTTTTTAGATGTAATTCCAGTCTCTGGTCCCGTAAAGCTTTAATCCGCTTTAATAAATGACTTATTATTCATTAACTCGTTAACTCAGAGAGCCGCAACAACACAATAGCGCAACTTAACACAGTGTTACCCAGTCATAATGCAAGTGGAACTTTTCGGTATTAATTTATGCGCATAGGCATTCGAATTCGGTTTGTTGTAATAAATCGGAGCCTCACCTTGATATTGAGGGCATTCGTTCTATCTATTATATTTTATTTCTTGCTATGATTTTATGGTACGGAGTGTTTCACTAAAGCTATGCTTGGGCAATATTTTGGTAGATAGTAAAAATGAAATATTCAGGTCTGAAGAAACAGTGAGGAAATCCTGGAGAGGCTAGAGAACCATTGAAAATAAATATCAAATATTTAAATTTGTCCGAAAAATTCTCTTATCCATATAAATTCGGAAACATCACTAGAAAGCTTAATTAATCAATTTTGGTCTCATTGATATGCCTATCTACATATAAGAATGGATTGAGTAGGTATTAGAAAATGTAATCAATTAAATCTGTATAATTCCGAAACGACGTATTTGATTTTAACAAGCGTCAGCTTTTAATCCAAAGTAGCATTGTAATAATAAGTAAGTGAAAGTTCAGATTTTATACGGAAAACACATTCAACTATACTTAACTTACTTAATTATGAAATTATAATTGAAAACTAGATTAAACTTGCATGGTCAAACGTTCCTTTCAAATATCTTGATTTCGTTAAAGTGTGCAAAATACATATTTGTAATTATATTTTGACTTATGTTTATATTAAAGTTTTACTTTACGGCACATGAACTTAAAGACACCATATTAGATCTATTTTGCAGTCATCTTTCTATCATTACCTAATTGATTCCCTCTCTTTTAATCTCCTCAAAAAATCAGGTTATTGACTGGTACAAAAGCCTACAGAATTACTCAATTTAAAAATTCGTTTTATTGTTATCGAATACATTCCCACAGAGTCGAAAAAACGGTCGAAAATTTACATTTTGTCTGGGAAGTGTAATTCATATTGAAACTGGTGAGTTTCATGTGTCGTAGAAAATAATCTCTTTCTGACGTTTCACAAGCACGAGCGACGTGCATCTTCAGAGGTGCTTATGTTTGAAAGTTTTCACTGGGTAGAGCTAAGCTTTCAATCGAAAATACCTTCTGAGATGCAAGTCACTCGTGCTTGCAAAACATCACAAAGTAATTATTACTCACGACGCTTAAAAGTCGAAAAAACAATACATTTTCAGGCAATGGCCACGAAACCCTTATTGTTTTAATTGATATTGCTATTAAAAGGCCGAATTATTTCTTCATATTTAATTTTCTCGATTTCCATCCGGCAACCCAAGTTTTCACGATAAAGTAAAATACATTTATTTTAACCTGTTGCAAGTGGCGCCTATAAATTTGGTTAAAAACTGTAATGTTTCACTACACATTATGAGGAAAAAATCCAAATAAGCTCAAATTAACTACCATCGATTGAAGCGTTTAGACGTTTGATTGATTTAAATTATTAATTTTTCAATAATGCAATTGTCTTTTATCAACATTGATCGTTGTAGCTCAATTTTCACTCATCGAAGTATTATGCTACACTTTTTGAAATATTATAGAATCGAATGCAACCAATTGTTTTTATTCTCTCATGGAAGTTGTTTGAACTTGAAAGTCTGAATAATTGTTTAGTGCAATCTCTGGTGTTTAATGGTATTCTCGTGGGCTTCTGAAACATTTGATGAGGAAATTATTAAATTTTAGCAAACGCTACTTTATTTCTCAATGAACCCATGGAAATACCATGTATGACTGATAACTGATATACATTTTTGTGCTCTCAATAGACTTCACATAGTCTACGTCAAAGACCTCAGGAGAATGTGACAAGGAAGAATATTTCTAATAATATTTTAAAACAAATTACTTTCATTATTTATTTTTCTCTTCCATTTTCTTGTTCCGCAGTATAATGTTTCGCGTCCGGAATGTAACAAAGGTTTCAGTATTTCCTCAAGCGGCTCTTTCCAATATATTACGCGCATTACCTTAAAGGTGTTATGCATTCGTACTGAAGACAGACATCAGTTGGATCCTCGACGGTTTGAAACTTGACTTTAGCGTTGGAAAATACTTGACATTCATTTTCTTTGTGCACTTTTAATTGTTCACACTCCGGCCCGCAAACCGGCCATGAGCACGTGGAACATAAGTAGGCACAATCAACTGGACTGTGGCATCCCAAACATAAGCATGAACTATCTGAAATATAAATTGTTTCGTTTCTGTTAGGAAAATGATTGATACAATGATGTACTTAGACAAATATTCTAAATAAAAAAAAATCATTACCTGATTTGGGTCCATATGCAAATGGAGTTTCGCTGAATATCACATCACCAGGTTTGAGATCCTCACTAGCCACAGCGTACCGGCCGACAGTTTCACTTTTTTCTACTTTGAAAAGCTCCTGGAAATTAACACTGTTTAATGCAATATTTATTTACATGAAAACATAGCTAGTGTGACAGGATTTTCTCCTATGCTAGATTTAAGCTGTTATTACAACCAATGGCTTTTTTGAATTTTAAAAACCGACCTCAAGTCCTACGTTTTTCCCTCAGCAATTGAAGCACAAATTAAGAATTATTAACTTGTTAGCGCTTACCTTATTCTCACTCATAGCGTTTGACTGTTGTTGCTCAATAAATTGCACTTATATAACTTTCACTAAACTTTTCAATCCCCTCGCGGTTGCAAATAGCATCAACAAGCAATACTTTAAATTACAGGCAGCAAACTTTTAATTACGAAAACTTCCCTTGGTCAATCCAGCTGACTAGAGCAAGATTGTTTTCGAAACTCAAACACGTTTGCCATTCGATTGCTTATATCGCTTTAAATTTAGATCCAGACAAAAATAGACGGGTCTGGAATATCGTCGAACCTTAGTTGCAATCGTTTCATGGGTTCTAGAAAAAGTTTTCTCGTAGAAAAAACAAACAGTTTGCCACATAATAGGAACAGGTGTCAATGCGTTGTAATAAAGCCTGAGTAACAGAATTTTGAAAAAGAAGTGTGGTGGATGATTCCGGTTTAATCTTGATAACTTCGAGAATCAATAGACGAAGTGAGAATAATGTCGCAACGTATTAGTAATAATTAAAGCTCGGATTTAAAGGCAAGAAAATTTGAAGAACAAGGCGCCTATATAGGCAAGGATTTTTTTTAAAAAAGGCAGACATATTGTGATATAGGCAGCCGCCTATAACTATAGGCAAGTGCCTTATCGTGC